TTGTGACGTAGAATCAGTACTAGAGTGTAACTGTAAGCGTGCAAAACTAAATAACATTCGTGATTAGTTGGTAGTGCTTTGTCATCGACATCACTTAACTGTCTTTGCTTTCCTCGCACGCTAACCAGCAGGAGCCATCTCCCCTTTCCTCCCCTCCCCCTCTGGGGTCCTTCACTCCCCACTCCGCCTCTCTGGGTCTCCACCCCCCCGCCATCCCTGAGCACAGCGCCGTCCATACCCCAGTCACTCCCTCTGGCCTCAGTGCCACCTCGACCACCACTGCTGGCCTCCTGGCTTTGTCGGGGTCGACGTCGGGGCTACACATGCGAAAGAGCCAGACGGTGCCCACCATGCCCACTCCCGTCTCCTCCTCGGCGGTCTCGTACTCCCTCAGTGACTACGAGGCTATCGCATACTGCCAAGCCGCGAACCTGGAGGCAGCCGCAGCTGAGAGAGAAGACTTACGGCGCTCTGGCATCATCTCTTTCAGCCCGATCTCATCTCACGAGTCTTCCCTACTGTCTCTGTCGCCGGCAGTGGCGCCACTGTCTTCCTATGGGGGAACCACTGACGGCACTCTCGCCTCGGTGCCCAGACCCTCGACGTCGAAACCCTCTCACTCAACCTCCTCGCCTGCCATAAGCAGTTCCTCTGCTTCCCATGTAGACAGACCGAGCACTTCTACATCCACCCCCACAGGGCTCCGGCACCGGCCGCGACACGCGTCTTCTCCTTCGACGCCTGTGGCTGCTCAATCTACTATAGACACCTGTCCCTCTCCCACAGCTCCCACACCCTCGACGAGCTCGTCAGGTGACACGCCTGGGCGCAAGGCCAGCAAATTCCCCCATTCTCAGTCCTCTCCGACGGTGGCTTTCGCGTCCTCCTCAGGCCACGCAGCACCGCGATCCTCTCAGTCTGTAACGTTCGCGCAGTCCTCTGGCAAACAGGCGGCGTCAGCTGGAACTGGAGCCAGCATCCGGCGGTCCTTTTCCCTCTTGCAGTCTGTTCAGTCGAAATTTGACATGTCACACCCCGATCACTCCGAGAGCCCCTCAGACCCATCTCTGGCTGCCTCAACACCAGTGTTGTCAGATCCTGTCATCTCTCTCTCCACGCCGTCGTCACCCGACCACCCCCCTCAGTATGACGAGGTCCTGTCGATCTCCATCCCGACAGACCCGCTTATGTCGCAGGTCACGGTTTCCCATGCCATCGACACGCACTCCCCGTCGCGTCTCTCGGCCTCGAAGGTCGCTCTGGGTGACGAGGCCTCAGGCCCTTCCCTCATGGACTCCACCCTTTACATCCCCAGTGCACAGGATCCTTCCCTCCTCACCCCCTCGCAAATAGACCCGTCGCAGCTCACTCCCTCCCCTCCTACTCCTACGATGGTTCAGTCTCAGGAACCTCCCCCTCCCGAAACCCCCGTCCCCCAACCACCCCCAACTCCTCCCACCCTCCAGCCAAGCCCAGGACTCCTGTCGAGGATTGGGAGCTTCGTGGTAAGGACGCATTCACAATCCTGTGCAGCCAGTCCACTAGTCAAACACTAACTTCTAGTTCCACTCGCTATTTGATTGCGTAGTAGTTACAATAAATATGTATTTGATCCGACTGTCAATATATCAACCTACTTTCAGTCGATATCTTTGCCTGACGGTGCTTTGCCCAACAGGTCGATCTCAGTGGCTACAACAAGCGAGCCGTCAGTTTCCTGGCCAGGAACTTCTACAACCTGAAGTACGCTGCTCTGGTGCTTGCCTTCTGTATCAACTTCATCCTTCTGTTCTTCAAGGTCAGTCTGGTTTATTAGGCTTCTGTAAATGAAGTATGAAATGTGAACAATTAGATTTAAGTTTTAAACCATGTACACATTTTCTTTTATGAGAAAAAAAATAAAGCACTGTATTACAAAATACCGCTTAAGGTTTAAAGTCTTATCGGTACAATACTTTTTTAAATGCAAACCAAGGCATCGAAGGTATGTTTAAGAAACTACACGATGTATTCATAAATGTAAATACAACAAAGTATCTATACAAACACTCCTAGACTGTCAATTGAACAACGTATAACGAAAAAAAGAGTAAAATACCAGTCATTAACAAAAGCCCATCGCTCTCACAGGCTACCGTAGTCGAAATCGAAGAGGAGGAAGGCGAAGACACGGACGTCAACAACCCGTTCGCCTTCGGATCCGGAGACCTCCTGGGATCCGGCGACGAAGCCATTCTCGGGGACGACGCGGCGGAGGAACTCGGCTCGGGCAACTTCACCCTCGGAGAAGACGACGACGAAGACGAGGAAGATGAAGAGGTAGGGCGGAGGGCTGGTTCTTTGTCTCTCTGTCTGTCTCTTTCTCTCTTTCTCTCTGTCTCTGTCTTTCTGTCTGTCTCTCTGTCTGTCTGTCTGTCTGTCTGTCTGTCTGTCTCTTTCTCTCTGTCTCTGCCTTTCTGTCTTTCTGTCTGTCTGTCTGTCTGTCTGTCTGTCTGTCTGT